GCTGTGTTCACCGTCACTTTGTGTTGCCGTGTCCCGTTGAGTGTCGCTCTGCTGACTGTGCTTTTGACATGCCCTCATTTCTCTTTCTTCTTTCCTGCTAGAGGCACCGATAGTCCGCGACGACGATTGTTTGTGCTCCCCATTGCGATGGCACGAGGGTGACTGGCGCCCTGCCCCGGCCTGCTGAGTGCACTCGGAGGGGAGCGGATGGTGTGCGCCGTGCCTCACTGTGAGTGAGGAACACTAATCCGCCACAACCTGCTGTGGGGCGCCATGCCAATTTGTAAGGGCAGAGGGAATTGAAGGACACCGCTCTGTTCTTGGATGCGCTCCGTCCCACTTTCCCTGTGGTTGTGTGTGTGCGGTGCGCATAGATCTCTTTTGCGGTGCGACTTGGATGGCGTTGCTGCTGCATGTGTATTTATGCATGTGTTTTGCGGCGGACTTCTCTTTCTCTCCCATGGCACCGCCCTTGTGTGTGGGCGATTGGAGGGAGCGGGGAGGTGCGAGGAACTGAGCGTGGGTGGCTGACAACTACACCCCGCACTTTGGGGTCTTTCACACACACGTGGCTCCTCTCGGCAGCCTCTTGCAGCACCAGGTCGTGGATTGAGAGGATGGGAGGGTCTGCTCCAACCACAAGGACAACGAGATGCAGTGCATGACGGCCAACCTGATCCGCGTGTGGTTGCAGCGCATGGAGCACGTGCGCCAGTACTTGTTGGGCGTTGCACTCATAATTTTTGAGGAGAGGCGGCACGACATCGTGGCGCTGTGTGTGTTGTGCGTAGCGGTGGCATGGCAGCGATTGTGGGGGACGTGGTGGACACGGAGCTGCTGGACTGAGGGAGGAGGTGGCGTACGTTGCGGCGCAGCGGGAGTGCATGACGGCTGCGTGTGCTGGGAGGGCCCGACGATCCCGAGGCCTGTGCTGGAGGGGCGCGTGTTGAAGTGAGCGTGGCGTGCCTGTGAGGGCCTGAGGAGAGGGAATAACAGTAGTAGTGACTGTGGGGTGTGAGGAACGGTGCACGGCGAGGATTAATTCTTTGGTTGTTGTTTTTTGACTGCTGTTGAACCGCGCCCACCCAGTTGTTGTTGTGGTGCGTGACTCTCATTGCTGGATGGGACGGTGCGTGGCTGTGTGACTTGTCTCTCTTTGCTTTCACTCTGCGTTCACGTGTTGTTAGTTTGTGCTGAAGGCTGCACGCAAGTGACAGGAGTGATGGCGATGATGATGACTGGCCGTGTGCTACTGGTGTGTGCCCTCTGCGTGCTGTGGTGCGGTGCGGTTTTTGCACACGCGATGGACGATTACTGCAGTGAGGGTGGAGGGAACGGTTTGAGGCACACGTGTAATGGTGGAGATGACGGCGTGTCTCTAAGGGCGGACTGCGGGTTGTTAGCCACTCGAATGGCATTAATAAAGGCGGTTGAGGCGGAAGCTGGACAAGATGAATTGAGTGGTGGTCCAGGTTTATCTCAGGATACGAAGGAAAAGTTGGACGATACGTCTGTGGGAACTAATACAGTGGGCAGTGCAGCGGCTGGTTTAGGAGGAAGTATTGTCGCAGGTCAGACAGCAGCACTACCGCCGACGCCCGGAGGATCAGATACAGGAGGACAGGTGGTGAAGCCAGAAGGGTTGGATGCAAATGGAGGAAAGGAAGCAGATCATAAGGAGGATCGCAACGACAGTACGGCAACTGGGCCCCAACACCAAAGCGTTGATCAATCATCTTCTTCCTCTTCTTCATCTGGCAGCCCTGGCACTCAGAACGGTGAAGAACACAACTTGGAGAATACTTCCAAGAGTGATGAATCCTCCGATGATTCACCGAAAGATGACGAAAGTGATCGTCTTAGCCAATCCGACAGTCGTGAAGAGAAGGCGGAAGAACTGGTGAAAAAAAAAAACGAATTAAACACAGAAAATACAAGTCATGAGGCACCAACACTAACAACAGCACCAGCCGAAGAGGCAGAAATACAAGCAGCAATACCAACAACACCACTGCATAGCCATTCCGGCGCTGAGGATTCAGGAGAGGTGCAACAGTTACAACAACCCCAAGACGGCATTGAGTCAAACAAACATTCACAAACAAAGAGCGCTGCCTCCATTACAGCCAATCAACACAATGAACCACCTGCCGACCATGCAGAATCCAGGCCACCATCACCCACGGCAAACGGTGATGCCGCCAATAATGAATCTGAAAAGAGCACTGAAGAGGGCATCCCGAACAATGATCCAGCAGCTGATGGTGCAGGGACAGCAGAAGAAAAACAAAATGAAAATAAAGAAGCCAATCCGAAGGAAACATCAGTCGAAGCCACAGCCACGAAAACTACAACGGCAACACCTGGCGACAGTGACGGCAGCACCGCGGTCTCCCACACCACCTCCCCTCTTGCGCTTGTTTTTGTGTGTGCGGCTGCTGCTGCGGTGGTGGCCGCGTGAGAGTGAGGGAGAGAGAGCCATGCACCGCCCGCACACACACTCGTCCTTCTCTCACTCTCTGTGTGTGTCCCCTTGCATGGACTCTCGCCCTCACCTCACCCCACGAAGCGCACACATAATGCGCCCATTGTATATATGCATGCACACCCATGCAGGCCCGTTGGTGCTCTCTTTTGCACCACACGCACCGCTGCCGTCCTGCCTGGCTGCATGGGCGGAGCACCGTAACTGTTTCTGTTTTGTTTTTATTGCATTGAGTGGGCGACCTCTCTCTCTCTCTCTCCCTGTGTGTGTGTTTTGCTTTACGAGAGCAATGAGAGTGTGTGCGCTGGTCGTCCCACGCTTCGGCTTTTTGTTTTGTTTTTCATTGTTTTGTGGTTGAGTGCACCCATTTTCCTTTTTGAACGGCGGCATGCTGTGACAGCGGACACTTTAATCTTCTCTTCTTATATTCTCATATTTTTTAATTGTTTCAAAAGTGTCACCCTCTTGTATTCTTGTCAGGCCACTAGGCTTTTTCTATACGCGTGCCATGCGTCAGTTGATCCACGTCACCCCGCAGCCACCAGCGCTGCTGTTACTTCTGCTTGTGATGATGTCTGTGTTGTGTTGTGCATGCGGGTGCTTTGCTGTCACCCTGACGTACCCTTTCTCCCTCTGACAAAGCGATGCGTGCCGCGAGCGCCAAGTCGATCTCGGCTGTGGCGAATGACGTGCCCTTTTGGAGCAGAGGGTGCGTCTCGTCGACACATTGACGCAGATAGGCGCCCATGCATTCCTCCCGATGATGGTGTATATCTGAGGGACCTGGATGATGCCAGAAAGTATTGCAGCTCAGAGCGGCATTACGCAATGAATTCATTGTGATAATTGTGACTGTAACGATGAAGTTTTTTTCTACTGAGAATAGGAAAGTTTTCTTTTTGTTATACGTTGCGGTCACTGTTCGTTAATGGCCCGAGGGTTGTCCGTAGAAATGTGACCAGTTCTTCCGCCTAAAACGGTGCTATCGTGCGAGAGGGGTTATCCCACATCATGTGCGGCAGGACCTCCCGTGGACCGTCGGACGGCTCAGCGGCTGGTGGTGATTGCAGTATAGAAGTGGCTGGAGGGCTATGGTTGTCATTGGAGCTTGCAGAGGTGCTTTGTCCGTTTTTTGCTCGTTGATACGCTTGACATTTACGGTGGCGACCCGAAACGCTCGCACTCCGCGGCGATGCACTCGCTCAGCCCTCGTGCCGTTTCGTCACGGACAGGCGTCACCACGTCCGGGGTCGTGCGTCGTGGCGTAGATCCGGACTGACGTCGGTGGTGTGCCAGCAGTGCTGACAGGCGGCAGTGGATCAGTCCTTCGCTCACCCCTAGCAGGGGCAGAGAGCAGCGGGATTTGCCGACAACTCTCTCTGTGCGGATGCGTCCTTCCCGTGTTTGCGGATGGGAGTGGTGTATTCCATTTCCCAGCAACTTCGTAGGCTGCCGTCGGCGAGTGAGGTATTGATCATCTTTCTGAGCGAGCCACGGCAGCGGGTGCAAGATGGCGCAGAAAAGCATTCAATACGCCGACGGATCCAGGGGCCACGCCACGCAAACAATCGCGGATGGCCGAGTCAGGTGCAGACGGCGTGAAGAGTAAATTTATATCTCAGCCACCAGAGGGCACGCAAGCACAAACTGTGCAGACAACAGTGAGGATCGCAGCAAGTGCGACGCGGACAGTGTGACGGACGAGCAGGTGTGCCTGCTGCAGAGGCAGAGCACAGACGCGGTCCCGAGTGTACCGCAGCACAGCCGATTACAAGGAGCGGGGACGTGGTGCCGCCATGCCTCGGAGCATCACAGGCTTGGGCTCAAGAGGGCACCAAGCTGTTTCGCACGGACCTCTGGCAGCATGGAGAAGCCACAGTGGAGAGCATGATTGCGGTACTCCCGTTTGCGGAGCACTTCAGCTCGGGCAGGCTGCCTCCGGGCGAGGCTGTGTGCGCGTTGCATGCTGCCGCTACAACACACTCCACCTGTTCCATTCCGTCCGTACTAATTCCTCTGGAGCTGCCACGGCTGCCGCTCGTACGGTGCATTTGCGCATCTCCAACCATGTGCTCAAAGTGGCCAGAGGTGTTCCACAGGACGAGGGGGAAGCATCACAGTCAGCTTCACGCAGGACAACGGCGATATTTTTCCGTCGTGGCAGCATGCCTGCCAGCCGTGGGATGCCGTCCTCCGTCTCTGCAGTGTGGGATTGCAGATGGTGGTCCGAATCCATGTAAACGGGTGGACGTACAGTGGGAGACATGCAGCACGCGTTGCACAGTCACGTCGGGAAACGAGACGCTGCGGCCGCTGTTCCGCGTTGCCTGTGCCGGGACGTCAAAAGGCTCAGACTCCATGCCGCTTGGGGTGGCGGCGAGGTCCTCTCCTGCCGTCGTGGATGGTGAGCGACCGTCCCGCAGCTCATGATGTAAATTCAGGTCGCCCGCAATAGGCGCTGCAGAACAAAGACGAAGAATGGTGCTCGCAAAGTGAGCAGCATGAGCAATTGCCGATGGAAGGTTGCAGAGGTTCACCACGCACATGCTGGGGCTGGCCGGTGGGTACACGCGGAGGGCGGTGGTCTCCAGGCAGTTGGTGCCAGCAGCGACAGGCGCTCGCACGGCAAGGTGTGGCGCACCAAGAGGGCCACGCCACCGGCACGCCCACTGCAGGCCTGGTGGATGTCGGTGCAGCCAACGAGCCTCGTCGCTGGGCACTCCGGTGCCTGCACCCCTGCAGGGGAGCCATGTCGGGCCGGTGCTGCGCCAGTCGGAAAGCAAGGGCAATCCTGAAGGGCGAAGGGCCTGAAGGTATGAGCTGCCAGATAACTACGAGGCCATCCTCATCGGTACCAGAGTTTTTGTGGAATTCACCGCAACGGGTGATATCAACGGAGCGATCGCTGCGAAACGGTCGTGCAGTTCTGTCCGACAGTCTGCAGGCAGACCGCTTCAACTCCCCACACCGGGCTTGGCGCGGAACCTTCTCGAGGGGTGGAGTCGTCTTGGTCTCCGTCGTGCTCGCAGCAACGCCCTGCTGCAGAGTTCCTATATGCAACCAGAGCCCCAACACCGCGACAAGGTGCGGACCCCATCGCTGGGGCCAGGAGAGGCCGCAGTGCCTCCTGCTCTCATCAGGGATCCTTCTTGACGTCTTGATGCGGACAAGCGTCCATCGGTTCTTACAAACGACGCCGTACACCTGCGGCGCATCCTGCGCTGTGGGAGGCACGACCCTCACCACAACCGGAGTCGTCCACGCGCCGTCGGTACGCACCACATTTTCAATGAAAAGGCAGGGATGCGTCAGGGTGACAGCAAAGCATCCGCTGGAAAATCGCAACACAGGCACAATAACAAACAGCACCAGAAGCGCTGCAAGCCACGGGTTAACGTGGACCAACTGACGCATGGCGTATGTCGAAGGAAAAACTTAGTGGCCTCACAAGGATAAAAAAGGCTGACACTTCAAAACAAAAAAAAAAACGATATGGGAATAACAAAAGAAGATTAAAGTGTTCGCAGTCAAAGCATGCCGCTAATCAAAGAAAAGTAAAATGAGAGCACCCAACCACGATAAGACAAAACAATAAAAGAAAAAACAAAAAGCCGAAGCGTGGGACGACCAGCGCACACACTCTCATTGCTCCCGTAAAGCAAAACACACACACAGGGAGAGAGAGAGAGAGAGAGAGAGGTCGCCCACTCAATTTAATGACAACAAAACAGAAACAGTTACGGTGCTCCGCCCATGCAGCCAGGCAGGACGGCAGCGGTGCGTGTGGTGCAAAAGAGAGCACCAACGGGCCTGCATGGGTGTGCATGCATATATACAATGGGCGCATTATGTGTGCGCTTCGTGGGGTGAGGTGAGGATGAGAGTCCATGCAAGGGGACACACACAGAGAGTGGGTGAAAGACGAGTGTGTGTGCGGGCGGCGCATGGCTCTCTCTCCCTCACTCTCACGCGGCCACCACCGCAGCAGCAGCCGCACACGCAACAACAACAAGAAGAAGCAAAAGAGGGGAGGTGGTGTGGGGGACCGCGGTGCTGCTGTCACTGTCGCCAGTCGTCGCCGTTGTAGTTTTCGTGGCTGTGGCTTCGACTGATGTTTCTTTCGGATTGGATTCTTTATTTTCATTTTGTTTTTCTTCTCGTGTTCCTGCACCATCAGCTGCTGGATCATCGTCTCCAGCTGTTTTGGTGCTTTTGAGATTTGTATTATTCGATGCTCCCTCCGCGCCAGAAGGTGAAATTGGCTGCTCTTGACCGCCTGCTGACATCCCCTCTGTGGTGCCGGTACCAGCGTCTTCCTTCTTTTTCTCCTCATGCTTCTCTGCCTTGTCGTCCGCTTCCTTTTCTTCTTTCGTTTCCCCCTCTTCTTTATTCTCATCATTCTTATCTATTTCTTTATGTTCGTCTTCCTCTTCATCATCCTCTTCCTCTTCCTCCTGTATTTCATCCTCTTCCTCCCTCGTTCCTTTTTCTTTTGTTTTCTCATTGTTGTTTTCCGTCTTTGGTGTTAAAATTGCTGATGCTTGTTGTTTTCCCGGTTTTAGTGCCGGTGAGGAGTTCGTTGCCGCTCCCGCTCCCGCTCCCATTACGATTTGCACCGGTGATGATGTTTCTTGTGACGCTGCCGGTTTACCGGTTAGGCCATTTCCTCCAGCGCCACCAATGGTCTCTTTTTCACTTTTAGGGGTTTTGCGGTCTTCGGACTGAGTACCCAGAAGATCTGGAGTTGGTTCAGAACATCCACCACCGCCGGCACCGCACCACAGCACGCAGAGGGCACACACCAGCAGCACACGGCCAGTCATCATCATCGCCATCACTCCTGTCACTTGCGTGTAGCCTTCAGCACAAACTAACAACACGTCAACGCAGAGCAAAAGCAAAAGGGGAAAAATGTTAAAAAACCAAGCAGAGCCACCGTACAGTAACAAGTGGCAGCAACAACAGCAGCAGCACACGCATTGAAACAGATGGAACCCGTACGATTGCAGAACTCGAGCACCGCCTTGCATACCACGAGTTTAAAAAAAGATAGAACAGCAAGAATAAAAACACCCAAGGCACCAGTACGCATACATATGAGCGTGTCTGTGATGCGTTCAACGAGGCGAATGCGAGAACAACGCGGAGCAAAAAGCAAGGCAGTGGAGGCAAACAAAGCAAAAACTACCATCATAATTACTATTACTTTATACATCGGAACACAGTGGAAGCGCACATGCCCCCGTGATTGAGTGCTGGCACGCACAGCCCGCACACACATCTTTGGCCCAGAGTGGTGTACGCCAGCGCGGATACGGCGAGCACCAGCGGGGCACACACCCACGCAGAGCTGCTGAGGCTGCCGTCGATTTCGCGAAGACGTGACGGTGCGCGGGTGGTCGTCGTGGTTGGCGCCTCTGTATTCCTGGCCGTATTACTTGGTGCCTTTGTTGTACTGGTGGTCGTATTTGGCATTTTTATCTTCTGGTTTGATGTCGGTGCCTTATGATCCTCATCGCCTTGTGTATTTTACTGCGCCTTTTATTTTGTGCATCTGACATACCGGTCGCACCTTGTGTGCGTGTGTGGAGACTGAGTTGCCAAACCTGGTGGTTCTGGATTATCGTTAGCCGAACTTGGTGATTCTGGCGGAACTGGTGTCTGTCCAGTGATGGCTGTACCTGCTTCCTTTGGAAAGAAGGTCCTGGAGTTCTCAAACCCCCCTCGGTGTCTCTCCCACTCTCTATCTGTGGCACACCGGTCTCCCCACCATATGGCTGTAATGCACCAGGCATATTTTTCTGTAGGATCCGGTTTCCCCAGCTCAGGGCTGGGAAGACTGCTGTTATCATCATTATCGTCTCCTGTCGCCGTCACGCACACGGACGAGCAGCAGCAGCACAAGAGCGCAAGGACCAACACGGAGCCGCACCGTCACCATCGCAGTCATCATCGCCCGTAGTGGAGTCGCTGGTGTCAGTCAGCCGATCGGTGAGACGAAAAGGAAAAGGAATGGAACGAGAGGGAGAGGGACGGAGCACAGCGGATACAGCGAGAGAGAGCAGACAACATGAGGAGAGGGCAGCAGGCCCAGCCGCACAGTTCACACACCACGAGACGGCGTCCACGCAAGGAGGGCACACAACGCCAGCAGCCACCCACCATGCAGGAGGAGAAGACGTCCACCACCATCTCCCCCAGCTCATTCCCGCAGCCCCAGGGAAATGGCCAAAACCCCGCGGCCACCACACAACGCACACGGAGCAAGCGAACCCTCATCCATCCATAACGCGGCACAAAAATTTCCTGCCATCCCGCCCTCAATGGGACACGGAGCCCAACTCAACGCAGTCACACGCGGTGCATCACACCCACAGGAAAATAGACTCGGGGTGCGCGCTCCCTCCCTCCTTCTCATGGCCACGGAAGAAGACAACAGGCGCCACACGCAACTGCCAGCATGCACTACAAAAAGGAGCATTCAAACCCACTGCAACGTGCATCTTGTGTGTGTGTGGTTGTGTGTGCCTGCAGCAACACAAAGACGTGGAAAAGAGGGAGCAGAGTATGCGGACAGACGCACAAAAATGCACAGCGGAGACGCATAACGGAAACAACAAGAAGAAGACCGCTCAAACTCATGATTGCACTGCAGCCCAAGCAGTGGCAATTCACACAAGATTTATTGAAAACAAAAAACGTCCCCCTTCGTCTTATATAAACCCCATCACACAAAATAATTATAAATGAAAAAGAAATCGTCCATTACTGTTCCACACAAAATAAGAAAAAAATCGCCTGGCTGCCGTGTGGCCACACCAAACTGTCTGTATATATTTTGCCCGCAAAAGAAAATTAAAAAGATGGTTACGTGTGCTTCAACCGTCTGACCCTCCATGTGTCCGCACATCTTTTATATTTCATGGGGTCATCTGCGTGTTGCTGCTCCCCTCAGCCCTCTCATCGGCGTGTGAGTGCGGCCCGCAGAGCTCAGTCACTCGTGTGTGTGTGGGGAATGAGAGAAGCACGCAGACATGACGGGAGTCGCGTCTCTCCATCGGGAGAGTGAGCGCAGCAAAAAGAAAAAATCATCGGAGGGGAGAGAAATGCTCACGAGGCCGACACCGAAGGGTGCGCCACCGCATGAAATAAACACGCAAAGCAAAACAAATCCTTAAATAAAAACACGGCGGCAGGGTGTGGCTGTGTGTGTGGCGCTGCGGGTGTCTGCCCGCCCTGGCCGCAAAGAAAACAAAACAAGAGGGAAAGAAATGTGTGCTCCGCCCCACAGGCCCTCGTCGCACGCCCACACGTCACGGCTCCCTCAGCGCGCCGTTCGTCGCGGCCCCTCCTCATGCGTGCAGCAGGCGAGGCGCACAGGGCCGTCGTCATGAGCGTGTCGGTGGGTGTGCGAGTGGAGCAGTTGGGCGGGAAACACACGGCACCCATCACAGGAAGAGTGCAGCAACAAACAATTAAAAGAGGAAAGAGTAGAAAAGAAAAAAACGTCCATAGTGATTGCCCTAAAAGCAAAAAGAGGGAATGGGAGATGAGAGAAAAAAACAATAAAAAGTAAAAACAACAACAAAACGCAAAGCAAACAGGGAATAAAATAAATGCTATTTGAGAAGGGAAATAAATTATCACGTGTGTTTTTGTGCTCGGGAGGTCGCAAGTGTCCCACGCGGCAGCCAGTCACTCCTCACAGAGCCGCAAACACCCACAGTCCCAACAGAAGAAACAACGGCAGCAGTCCGCTCCCACGCACAGTGCCGGCATCGCTGTTATTCCCCTGCGACACATTTCCGAGACTGCTGCTGAGTGCCGCAGCCTTTACTTCGCCGTCCTGTGCATGGATGTCCTCCCGTTTCTGCCCATCCGTCCCTCCCACCGTCTCCTCATTCTCACCAGAGTGCACACCAACCTCAGTTGTATCTGCGGCTCCATCGTGCGCCATGATTTCAGCGGTAGGGGCATTTGTATCTGCTGTGGCGGGAGTGCCCACTGACGGTTGGTGTGTTCTATCTCCCTGCACCGTGTCTCCAGTTTCGGCATCCACCGTTTGAACTCCCTCGGACGAAGAAGCACCATCCACATTTGAATGTCCTTCGGGAGGTGTTCCCGACGCTGACTGGTCTTCGGACTCTTTGGCTGCTGGGGAAGTCGTGGCACTGGACACCGCTGACGTGGATAAACTACCACTCCCCGCATTTTCACTTGTCCTCAACGGATCCTGTTCAGTCTGCTGTTGCCCGCCAAGACTAGACGGAGTTCTGGTTTCCAGCGTAGCTGGTTTAATCGCCTCTGGTGAAGGAGTACCCTTCTTCACTGTTTTTGCTTCGCTTGCTTTCGGAATAGAAAGTTTTGTGTTAAGTGCAGTAATCTCATCGTCATCCAACGGGCGGTTGTACAGCAGGACGTTCGACACGGTCACAGAAACGTCTTGGATCTCTGAGACGCCTTTCGCACCTCCATCCCCTCCAATGTAGAAGTGTGATATCTCTTTTGAATCCTTATTCTCCAATGCACACGCTTCACCCCCACCCACACGCTGACCATCGACGTACGCGGAGCCCTGGGTGCCGTTCTGTAGCATAAGCACCACCTGATGTGTTGTATCTTTCTCCCAAGTGTTGCTGTGCTCCTCAGGGTTTTTGCCACCGCACAGCAATATCCATTTTTTTTTCTTGTTGTACGACAGTCCCAGAAGTACGGAATTCTCTGTATTCTCATCGCCATTCATCTTCACACCCATCAAAGGAATGTGGGTATCTCCCTCCTCCGTCGGCTCACCTTCGATGGACACCGTCGCCACAAGAGTGAAGTTGTAGTTCGCAAAGTGGTAAAGCTGATTCTCCCCTTGCTCGCCAACGGGCCACTCCGCCCACGCTCCCTGGAACTTCACACTGCCTTCATGCAATGTTGCCTTCTTACCCTCATCATCATTGTTCTTCACTGTGGCGTTCACCCCGAGGTACTCGTCCCTCCATTTGTTCTCAGAGAAGTTGTCCGACAAAAAGCCAACCAGCCCAGCCGTGATCTTAACAGTAGGGCTGCAGGCATTTTCAGATGGGGTACTCTCCACAGCGCTTGAAGTGGTGCACAGCTTGGAGACAAGGTCGTCCACTTTCTTCCACGTCGCCAGCACATCCTTCACACGCTGCAGCTGCTCAGTCAGAAGTACAGACCAAAGACTGTGTGATGATTCTTCATCGCCCTTCTTCTTCTCGTACAGTACAATAAGCTTCTCCCCATTATCTCCACTTTCAGCACTTTTGTACAACAGGGAGCTGGCGGCAACGTCGTCGTCCTTCCCGGATACCGGCCCAATATCGACAATGTGCGTATTGTCCGTCAGCCAAAGATGGAGTTCACTCTTTTCCTTTCCATTGTCTCCCTTCTCAAGCTTCTCGGAATATACCGGCAGAGTCACAAGCATCACATTTCTGTTACCTTCAACACCGTCAACAGTCGCTGTGATGAACCCGCTTCTGACGGTCTTTGCGCCCTTTTTGTTGCCCCACACGCGCGAGAGTGTCCCGAGTGCCTCCGTCCACGAATCCCCCATGTCACCGGACTCGTACACCCTGCGGCGGCCATCATCACATGCAGTCATCATCATGATGAGTTTTTTGTCCTTCCACTCCACGACGGAGGGAGCACTGCAGCCACCGTCAGACATCCCCTTCGACAGCGTCCAGCTCTTAGTGCTACTCGAGGTGTATATGAGCAGCGATACGGTCTTTTCATCGTTTTGTGCTTCACCCTTCTTCTTCGTGCCTTGCACTGGGAACACAAGCCTACCGTCATCCGTGTAAACACCCAATCCACCGCCGCCAATCAGCCGTGACCAAGATTGTCGTTGTTCGCCAAAAGATGCCCGCGAGACATCTTCATTATCGCTCCATTTGATTCTTTTGCCACCGCCACTTTCATCACTGACTTCCCCTTTCACCAGAAAAAATCCCCCGTCATTTGCTCCGCTCTTCTCACCAACATCTGCAGAGCTGTATTTCCCAACAAGCATGTAAATATCATTTCCCTGCATAACTGTTGTTGGTCGGCGCACATCCACTTTCTTCCTTGAGTCTTCGGAAGTTCCTTCCTCCAGAAATTGTGTCTCTTTCACTTCATTCAGCACTTCCACCGGTGTGTTGGCAGTTTGTTTCGGGAGAAGTTGGGATGCAATGCCAGTAAAACTGTCGCTTTCACTGTTCTTTTTGCACTGCGCCTCGGCAACGGCAAATACGTCACTCCCAACTTTTAGAAGGCCGGGAACACCCAACGACTCCACAGTTACACCACCGTCATTGGCGTCCTTCCATCCAAACCGGGGTTCAGATGGCTGCTCCGCAGCTTCCGCAGCACCACCAGTGTTGCAGCACATCATCACGACGAGGAGGAGGAGGAATGCAGAGCAGAAGAGATCCCGGGACATGTTGGGCCTCTGCGGCTCACTCTCTCTTCCTTCCCTCCTCCTTCCGCTGGATCCGGTCGCGCGGCGACGGTTGTGTGTGCGGGGTGCCTTCACTGCAGCAACACGTGAGAGCATATAAATATGTGTGCGTGGGCGGTGTGTGTGTTGTTGTTTCTTTCAGTGCCTTACAATTTCACGGTAGCGTTTAGTGCTTGTTTGCTTTCTTCGTAAGAGAATGAAAGAAATGAGGAAAAACAGGCTAATAAAAAGGGGTGAAAGAATAAGCACCGCCACCCCTCCACAGTGAGTGGCATCATCATCCCCGCCGCAGTCAGTCCCAACAACAACTCACGCACACAAACACACGGAACAGGAAGAACGAAGAAAAGTGCACCGGGAACACACAGCGACTGCCACCAACACCAGTAAGAGCCACGGCGGGTGCTTCTGCCACGCGTCAGCACGCACCGAGCGACACCCATACACAACCAAGCAAACGGCGGAATGCAAAAGAGCACAACGACCCTTCGCAGCACTCGCGCGCAGCCGCCAGTCCTTTTATTGCTGTCTCCTCTAGCACACCCGCTCCTCAACCGCCACAGGCGCACATCGCCCCGCACAGGCGAAGAATACCCCGTCGGCAAGTTCACAGCAAGAGAGACACTTCGGCACGTGCAGCTGCTGGATGAGAATCCATGCGCACTTATCCCAAGGCAGCCTCAACAACACTCACTGATTGCACGCCGCCAATATCACACCAGCAGCACATCGTGAAGGCATATGAAGGGCTCACGTCCTCCCTCCTCGCGAGGGCCGCCGAAGCCAAAATCTTTTGCATGTGTGCATTCTCAGCGTTCACGCCGCTCCACAACGTGAGCGAAATGGTGTATATGTGCTTGTGTGCTTATCAGCGTATATAAGTAAAGAGCAACTGTACGGCACAAGAGAGTCAGAAGAAAGCAACGGCAGAGAGAGGCAGATAGCACACACGCAAATTACTCATATCATCACACACACACGCAGCCCGCGGAATGGGTGCTCTCAACCACAAAAAAAGCAAAATAATAACGAAAAAAAAAAGACCGAAGCGTGGGACGACCAGCGCACACACTCTCATTGCTCCCGTAAAGCAAAACACACACACAGGGAGAGAGAGAGAGAGAGGTCGCCCACTCAATGCAATAAAAAGAAAACAAAAACAGTTACGGTGCTCCGCCCATGCAGCCAGGCAGGACGGCAGCGGTGCGTGTCGTGCAAAAGAGAGCACCAACGGGCCTGCATGGGTGTGCATGCAATATATACAATGGGCACATTATGTGTGTGCCTCGTGGGATGAGGTGAGGGCGAGAGTCCATGCAAGGGGACACACACAGAGAGAGAGAGGGTGAAAGACGAGTGTGTGTGCGGGCGGCGCATGGCTCTCTCTCACTCACTCTCACGCGGCCACCACCGCAGCAGCAGCCGCACACGCAACAACAACAAGAAGAAGCAAAAGAGGGGAGGTGGTGTGGGAGACCGCGGTGCTGCCGTCGCTGTCGCCAGTCGTCGCCGTTGTATTTTTCGTGGCTGTGGCTTCGACTGGTGTTTCCTTCGGATTGGCATCTTTATTTTCATTTTGTTTTTCTTCTCGTGTCCCTGCACCATCAGATGCTGGATCATCGTCGTCAGGCGTTTGAGTGCCTTTGGATTTCGTATTATTCGATGCTCCCTCCGCGTCAGAAGATAAACTCGGCTGCTCTTGACCGACTGCTGATAATTTTTTTGTGGCACCGTTATCATTTTTCTTCTTTTTCTGCTCTTCTTCTTCCTCCTCGTCTTTCACGTCGTCATCCTTATCTTCTTCATCGTCCTCCTCTGCTTCCTCTTCTTTCTTGTCAACCACCTTCTCATCTTCTTTCGTTTTCTCCTCTTCTTCTTGCTTATCATCCTCCTCTTCTTTCTCTTGTCCCGTTTCTTCGTTTTTTTTTTTTTCGTCCCTGCCGTTGGTGATGTTTCCGCTCCTGGTAATTTCGTTGCCGCCCCAGCTCCGGGTAATTCTGTTACCGATACTCCTGCTGCTTGTGACTCTACCGGTTCACCGCTTAGGCCACCTTCTCCAGCGCCACCAGCGTTGTTGTTAACACTCTGATGATTATTGTCGTTACCAGACTTAATTTCTTGAGGAGCTGGAAGATCTGGAGTTGTTTCAGAACATCCACCACCGCAGGCACCGCACCACAGCACGCAGAGGGCACACACCAGCAGCACACGGCCAGTCATCATCGCAATCACGGCTGCACACACAGTCTAGCGAGGGACAATGAGAGGAGGATGAGAAGAACACACACATCATCATCATCATCATCAGCAGGATTGGAAAGAAGGGAAGGCGCTGACATGAGGGTTGTTGTCATGAGCATGGGGGACGCGTGCACGCAGGAAGAACAGGCAACGATTAAACACCGGACAGCACGCACACAACTCCATGGCATTTAAAACCCACCCGCAGCTGCTCCCAATGGACAGGAAAGAGGACGCAACAGTGCGGCAGGAACACAAAAATGCCGGTGCAGAAAAGGATCCCAAAACGGCGCAAAAAAGAAACAAAAAAATAAAGTCTTCCCCCACAGCGGCCACATCCAACAAGTTAAGTAATAATAACAGAAACAAACACCACACACGGCAACTCACAGCGGCAGTGAGCTCCCTGTCGCCAAACTTCATGGCTGCACGCCACCGCACTCCTCGGGTGTCCATCGCTCCGCCGTATTCCTCCTTCCCGCGGCACACAATCGGGTCCATCCGCACCCGTCGCCACGCCACCCTCAACGACCCAACAGGCAACCGCCCAACGACTGTTGCAGAAATCACACACCCGCGCCAAAGCACGCGACGCAACATCATGTCACGTGGACCCCGCCGTCAAAAGAACGTCATGTCAACCGTTTGGCCGGCACACGGTACAATCGATCGACGGAACGGAGAAGGAAGGCAGGCACTCGATCAAGGACTCTCCAAACACACATACACACAATGCTCTTTTAATGCCGCCGCTGCTGCCACGGGCACGGTGCCCGAGCGGAAAATGACAAGCAGTAAAAAAAAGCCTCGCAAGAGAAACCAATCCACACGTCCATATGCAAAGCGCCACTCAGGCTGCTGCGGCTGCAGGGTCCGTGGGCAAAAAAGCGCCTTACTGAATCCCGCCAGTTATGTCAGTCTCCCCTCCCACCAATGTAGCGCATAATGCACGGTGTGCGTCCACAGGCATCCACTCCCGGTGCCCTAGCAACAATTCAGAACACACATAATGGAGAAGGGAAGCAGAATTACAAAATGCCAAAGCAGGTAAATAAAAATAAGAAAATCAAAACCACACAGATCCCTCGCACACGCACACATACACCCCACAGTATCCTTCAGAAGAAGTCAAACAAATTGTTGTCCCCAAACCCATTAAAAACACGCGTGGTGCCGCCACATTAGCAACCAACACAAAAAAGGGAGAGTGTACACAGCATTCCACTGGTAAAAAGTATACAGACAGGCAGAGCGTATGTATATACTGATAGGGACATGCCAGTTGATATAGGCCTTTCTCTCTTGCACCCACTGCTGAGTGTTGGCAACGCAGGACGCGACAAGCAGCAGAAGCAGCGGAAAGGGACAAGCCGCAGCCGCATTGTTACTGCCATGGATCGGAGGCGGGGTGTCCTTCATGTCTGCCCCCCAACCCCCGCGCACCACCGCCGCGTCATCCTCCCTCGGCGGAGGGTCCACGGCACCCTGCGCGTCATCAGCGGCATCACGGCCCTTGGGTTCCGTGGCTGCGGCACCGCCACCGGCCTTGTCGCTGGCGGCCTCATCTCCTAATGATTGTCCGAAAACAGACGTCACACCATCGGCGGCGACATCGTCGCTGTCCGAAAGATCGCTCTCCTTCTCCGCCTCCTGCGGCGAAACCACGGTTTCGCTGGGCAAGAGCACTCCGTTGCCGTCGTGGCACCTGAGGCGACTTCCTTCTCTGGCGACGGATGCTTCTGGGGAGCAGCCGTGTCCACATCCTTCGGTGGTGTGCCACGGCCGGTTCCAATGCTCTCTGGATCGGGGACGGATGCCCGTGGCAATCCTTGTTCAATATATGTCGGTAGAACCGTCCTGCTCCACACCCTCTCTCACATCGCCGTCCCACGGAACCACTGGAAGCAGGCTGCCGCTGGTGACGGATATCGTGCACACCTGCGCGTGGTCACGGCAACTAACGGTCCCCTCATCGTAGGGTTGAATGGCCCACGCAATCGTCGCCCCATCCGTGCATAAAACACAACGGACGTTACCCTTCTCAGTCAATCTCAGATGCACCTGCATGAGGAGGCACCGCAATGCCGCATGCATGGCACTCAGATGTATTTTTCTTCCGGGTCCCTCGCATCTGTCGTGTTGGTGGGAAGCGTGTCCAGAAACCACGAAGCGGGCTTGTCCCCAGGCACCGCAGAAAAACATTCTCCTCTCCAAATAACAGCGGCAGCATCCCTAGCATCCAGTGCGGGACCACTGATGGAGCAACTGTCCATCGGGTGTTTTGCTGACATTTCACGGATACTCCGTCTACACACCAACAACTGGAATACCAATCCGACGTGCAGCGTCTGGCGGGAATGCTCGCTTCGCAAAAAATGTGGAGATATTCACTCATGTTCAGTGCGGAGCACTTCCTCTGCAGCAGCGCACAACCCGGATTTCTTCACCAACGCATCGGCTCCGCCATCTCCCACTTCACCCTCATGCAACCCAGTTCAGCCGATGCGGCCAGCGTCAGCTCCGTGCAGTCGCCGGCACCTCCAATCGATGCCATCCACTCATCCTTCGCGTGGCGCTGCGACCAGTGCGACTCCAGCGTCCTCCCGTCCCCATCGCCATCCTGCAGCTCCATGCCATAAACGTCGCCGCAGTCTTGGGGCTCCTCGCAGCCATCGCGGCAGTCGTCGAGTCCACCACCACCGACAGCGCCGCAGCCACGCACAGCACCATGTCAGCATTGGCAACACCAGCGGAACAATGCCTAGCACGCACCGTGAACCGACTGCAAACGCTGCCCATGGCAAATGGGGGCACAATCAAAGGACCCTCCAGTGGCTGCACGAGCAGACGGTCCGCATGCGGGTTGACAGCAGCAGGGACAACTTCATTCTCGAGAATGATCCCGTGCGCAGAGGATACAACGTCATCCTCACAGTGGCGATTGTCATTCGATGAATTCATTGCTTAGTACCGCTCTGAGCTGCAATACTTCCTGGTATCATCCAGGTCCCTCACGGATACGTTGAAGCGGATGGGCGCTCATCCATCCCTCCCAATGACGGTGTACGTCGGCAGCGCACCCATTGCTCCAAAAAGGGCACGTCCCTCACAACGACTCGGACCGAATTCGTGCAGTCGGCACGCATCACATAGCCAAAGGATCGAGGGTACGTCAAAGTGACAGCAAAGCACCCGCTGGCAATCACACCACAAACACCACTTGCAGCACCACCAGCGTTTCAAACTAACGTGGGGTGTAGAGCAAGTAAGCCATTGATGTGGGTGTTAGGCAAATATTTCGTGGCTTGCTGAAGCAACAAGAACCGATTGCGTGGAGAGAAACAAAAAAACAAGAGGATACAAAAAAGGAAATTGGGCCATCTGGAGTTTAAGAAAACCAATCAATAAAAGTAAAATGGGAGCACCCAACCAAAACAGAAGCAAAAAAAAGAAACCAAAGCGTGGGACGACCAGCGCACACACTCTCATTGCTCCCGTAAAGCAAAACACACACACACAGGGAGAGAGAGAGAGAGGTCGCCCACTCAATGCAATAAAAACAAAACAGAAACAGTTACGGTGCTCCGCCCATGCAGCCAGGCAGGACGGCAGCGGTGCGTTTCGTGCAAAAGAGAGCACCAACGGGCCTGCATGGGTGTGCATGCATATATACAATGGGCACATTATGTGTGTGCCTCGTGGGATGAGGTGAGGGCGAGAGTCCATGCAAGGGGACACACACAGAGAGTGGGTGAAAGACGAGTGTGTGTGCGGGCGGTGCATGGCTCTCTCTCCCTCACTCTCACGCGGCCACCACCGCAGCCGCAGCCGCACACGCAACAACAAGAAGAAGCAAAAGAGGGGAGGTGGCGTGGGAGACCGCGGTGCTGCCGTCACTGTCGCCAGGTGTTGCCGTACCATTTATTCTGGCGGCTGCGGCTGTTTCTTCTGTTTGAGGTGCTGCCTCACTGAGTGTAGGAGCATCGTTGGTATCAACACCTTCAAGTACGTCGTGTGGTTCGTTGGGGTTGGGCCGTTGAGGGTCATTCCCATCCGCCGTACTCCGGACTTCACCACTGCCACTTGTATAGTTGGGTGATACTGTTGTTTCCGCTTGATTGGTGGCAGTTGCATTCTCCATCGAGTCCTTCGTGACTGTGTCTTGAACTTGTTGTGGTGGCACACCATCCGTCGCAGGAGGTTCCGGTGCTTCGGACTTCGTTTCTGTTTGTGACGATGAGCTTTCATGTTGCTGATGCGTCAAGGCCTGTGCATCTTCTGATTCTGTTTGGCTTGCGTCTCCTTCCGGAACTGCATCTGGCGATTTTCCTCCATTCAATTTCACTACCGGTCTTTGTGCTCTTTCCAATGCTGTTGGTTGTGCTGTTGATATTTTTGTTGGCGTTCCCTCCTCTTTTTTTCCCTCTTTGCGTGTCTCGGATTCCGCCCTGTCCTTAAATTCCTTTAATTCTTCCTCTTCTTTATTTTCTTCTTTCAATTCTTCCACCTTTTGTGTGTCACCAACAGTGGCATCGCGAGAATCGACATCTCCTTTCTTCAGCGGGTCCTTGTAAATTAAAGCACTGTCGGAATTACTCAAAGGGAGCACTTCTCCAGGACGAGTGTCACTGCTGTCGGATAAAAGGACCGGTTGATGAGCGGTTTGGTTTTGCGAATTAGATGCCTCACCGCTAGCAGAAACTCTTGTAAGTTCATCATCTCCTTTTGGTCCAAGCACCTCTAAATGCCGTTCCCCTTCATTTGCCTCTGATACTCCAGGTCCAGGCGGTGAGGTTACTGCACCTGCGGCACCATTTCCCTCTTTTGCACCAGCCAATGGGCCGCCGTCAACACCTTTTTGTGAAACAACAAGATCTGATACCTCCTTAATCTCCGATGACACCTTATCAGTCAAAGGCAAATTGTCGTCGCCAGCTTCAACCGCCTTTAATAATCCCATCGACGTAAAAAACAACCCGCAGTCCGCCTTCGAAGATCCGTCATTTACGCCGTTACTCGTGTACCCCAAACCGTTCCCTCCACCGGCAGAAGCACCCGCCTCGTCGGCAAAACCACCACACCAGCACCACAGCACGCAGAGGGCACACACCAGCAGCACACGGCCAGTCATCATCATCGTCATCACTCCTGTCACTTGCGTGTAGCCTCCAGCACAAACTAACAACACGTCAACGCAGAGCAAAAGCAAAAGGGGAAAAATGTTAAAAAACCAAGCAAAGCCACCGTACAGTAACAATTGGCAGCAACAACAGCAGCAGCACACGCATTGAAACAGATGGAACCCGTACGATTGCAGAACTCGAACACCGCCCTGCATACCACAAGTTTAAAAAAAGATAGAACAGCAAGAACAAAAACTCCCAAGGCATCAGTACGCATACATATGAGCGTGTCTGTGATGCGTTCAACGAGGCGAATGCGAGAACAACGCGGAGCAAAAAGCAAGGCAATGGAGGCAAACAAAGCAAAAACTACCATCATAATTACTATTACTTTATACATCGGAACACAGTGGAAGCGCACATGCCCCCGTGATTGGGTGCTGGCACGCACAGCCCGCACACACATCTTTGGCCCACGGCGGTGTACGCCAGCGCGGATAAGGCGAGCAGCAGCGGGGCACACACCCACGCAGAGCTGCTGAGGCTGCCGTCGATTTCGCGAAGACGTGAAGGTGCGCGGGTCGTCGTTGTGGTTGGCGCCTCTGTATTGATGGTCGTATTACTTGGTGCCTCCGGCGTATTCGTAGTAGTCTTGTTGGTGGTCGTATTTGGCATTTTAAACTTCTGATTTGATGTCTGTGCCTTATGATCCTCATCGCCCTGTGTATTTTACTGCGCCCTTTTATTTTGTGCATCTGACATACCGGTCGCACCTTGTGTGTGTGTGAAGACTGAGTTGCCAAACCTGGTGGCTCTGAATTATCGCTAGCCGAACGTATTGTCTCTGGCGGAACTGGTGTCTGTCCAGTGATGGCTGTGCCTGCTTCCTTTGGAAAGAAGGTCCTTGACTTCTCAAACCCTCCTCGCTGTCTCTCCCACTCTCTGTCTGTGGCACACCGGTCTCCCCACCATATGGCTGTAATGCACCAGGCGTATTCCTGTAGGATCCGGTCTCCCTAGCTCAGGGCTGGGAGGACTGCTGTTATCATTGTTATCGTCTCCTGTCGCCGTCACGCGCACGGACGTGCAGCAGCAGCACAAGAGCGCAGAGACCAACACGGCGCACACCGTCACCATCGCAGTCATCATCGCCCGTAGTGGAGTCGCTGGAGTCAGTCAGCCGATCGATGAGACGGAAAGGAAAAAGAATGGAACGAGAGGGAGAGGGACGGAGCACAGCGGATACAGCGAGAGAGCGCAGACAACATGAGGAGAGGGCAGCAGGCCCAGCCGCACAGTTCACACACCACGAGACGGCATCCACGCAAGGAAGGCACACAACGCCAGCAGCCACCCACCATGCAGGAGGAGAAGACATCCACCACCACCTCCCCCAGCTCATCTCTACAGCCCCAGGGAAATGGCCAAAACCCCGCGGCCACCACACAACGCACACGCGCAAGCGAACCCTCATCCATCCATGACGCGGCACAAAAATTTCCTGCCATCCCGCCCTCAATGGGACACGGAGCCGAACTCAGCGCAGTCACACGCGGTGCATCAAACCCACAGGAAAATAGACTCGGGCTGCGCGCTCCCTCCCTCCCTCCTTCTCATGGCCACGGAAGAAGACAACAGCCACCACACGCAACTGCCAGCATGCACTACAAAAAGGAGCATTCAAACCCACTGCAATGTGCATCTTGTGTGTGGTTGTGTGTGCCTGCAGCAACACGAAGCAAAGACGTAGAAAAGAGGGAGCAGAGTATGCGGAGGGACGCACAAAAATGTACAGCGGAGACGCGTAACGGAAACAACAACAAGAAGACCGCTCAAACTCATGATTGCACTGCAGCCCAAGCAGTGGCAATTCACACAATATTTATTGAAAACAAAAAAACGTCCCCCTTCGTCTTATATAAACCCCATCACACAAAATAATTATAAATGAAAAAGAAATCGTCCATTACTGTTCCACACAAAATAAGAAAAAAATCCTGGCTGCCGTGTGGCCACACCAAACAGTCTGTACATATTTTGCTCGCAAAAAAAAAACAAAACAAGAGGGAAAGAAATGTGTGCTCCGCCCCACCGGCCCTCGTCGCACGCCCACACGTCACGGCTCCCTCAGCGCGCCGTTCGTCGCGGCCCCTCCTCATGCGTGCAGCAGGCAAGGCGCACAGGGCCGTCGTCATGAGCGTGTCGGTGGGTGTGCGAGTGGAGCAGTTGGGCGGGAAACACACGGCACCCCTCACAGGAAGAGTGCAGCAACAAACAATTAAAAGAGGGAAGAGTAAAAAAGAAAACCGTCCATAGTGATTGCCCCGAAAAGCAAAAAAAAGGTATTGGGGAAATGAGAAATAAAAAGTAAAAACAACAACAAAACGCACAAAAAAGAAAAGAAAAAAAAGTGAAGAAAGAAATCTCACCACCAGAAAAAAAACAAAAAAACATTTAAAATATTTTAAAGCAAACAGCAAGGAAAAATTAAAAACACTTAAAACAATCATAAAAGGACAACCAAAACAGAAGCAAAAAAAAAGAAACCGAAGCGTGGGACGACCAGCACACACACTCTCATTGCTCCCGTAAAGCAAAACACACACAGGGAGGGAGAGAGAGAGAGATGTCGCCCACTCAAAGCAATGAAAACAAAACAAAAACAATTACGGTGCTCCGCCCATGCAGCCAGGCAGGACGGCAGCGGTGCGTGTCGTGCAAAAGAGAGCACCAACGGGCCTGCATGGGTGTGCATGCAATATATACAATGGGCACATTATGTGTGTGCCTCGTGGGATGAGGTGAGGGCGAGAGTCCATGCAAGGGGACACACACAGAGAGTGAGTGAAGGACGAGTGTGTGTGCGGGCGGTGCATGGCTCTCTCTCACTCACTCTCACGCGGCCACCACCGCAGCCGCAGCCGCACACGCAACAACAAGAAGAAGCAAAAGAGGGGAGGTGGTGTGGGAGACCGCGGTGCTGCCGTCACTGTCGCCAGTCGTCGCCGTTGTATTTTTCGTGGCTGTGGCTTCGACTGGTGTTTCTTTCGGATTGGATGCTTCATTTTCATTTTGTTTTTCTTCTGCTGTCCCTGCACCATCAGCTGCTGGATCATTGTTCGGGATGCCCTCTTCAGTGCTCTTGTCAGCTTCGTTATTGGCAGCATCACCGTTTGCCGTGGATGGTGGTGGCCTGGATTCTGCATGGTCGCCAGATGGTTCATTGTGTTGATTGGCTGTAATGGAGGCAGCGCTCTTTGTTTGTGAATTGCTGTTTGACTCAATGCCGTCTTGGGGTTGTTGTAACTGTTGCACCTCTCCTGAATCCTCAGCGCCGGAATGCCCATGCAGTGGTGTTGTTGGTATTGCTGTTTGTATTTCTGCCTCTTCGGCTGGTGCTGTTGTTAGTGCTGGTGCCTCATGACTTGTATTTTCTGTGTTTAATTCGTTTTTTTCTGGTTCTTCTTCCGCCTTCTCTTCACGACTGTCAGATTGGCTAAGAGGATCACTTTCGTCATCTTCCGGTGAATCATCGGAGGATTCATCACTCTTGGAATTATCCTCCAAGTTGTGTTCTTCACCGTTCTGAGTGCCAGGGCTGCCAGATGAAGAAGAGAAAGAAGATGATTGATCAACGCTTTGGTGTTGGGGCCCAGTTGCCGTACTGTCGTTGCGATCCTCCTTATGATCTGCTTCCTTTCCTCCATTTGCATCCAACCCTTCTGGCTTTTCCTCCTGTCCTCCTGTATCTGATCCTCCGGGCGTCGGCGGTAGTGCTGCTGTCTGACCTGCGACAATACTTCCTCCTAAACCAGCCGCTGCACTGCCCACTGTATTAGTTCCCACAGACGTATCGTCCAACTTTTCCTTCGTATCCTGAGATAAACCTGGACCACCACTCAATTCATCTTGTCCAGCTTCCGCCTCAACCGCCTTTATTAATGCCATTCGAGTGGCTAACAACCCGCAGTCCGCCTTTAGAGACACGCCGTCATCTCCACCATTACTCGTGTGCCTCAAACCGTTCCCTCCACCCTCACTGCAGTAATCGTCCATCGCGTGTCCAAAAACCGCACCGCACCACAGCACGCAGAGGGCACACACCAGCAGCACACGGCCAGTCATCATCATCGCCATCACTCCTGTCACTTGCGTGTAGCCTTCAGCACAAACTAACAACACGTCAACGCAGAGTGAGAGCAAAAGGAGAGACAAGTCACACAGCCACGCACCGTCCCATCCAGCAATGAGAGTCACGCACCAAAACAACAATTTGGTTGACGCGGTTCAACAACAATCAAAAAAAAAAGAGGAGCGCTCCTCGCCGTGCACCGTTCCTCACACCCACACAGTCACTATTACTGTTATTCACTCTACTCAGGCCCTCACAGGCACGCCACGCTCACTTCAACACGCGCCCCTCCAGCACAGGCCTCGGAATCGTCGGGCCCTCCCAGCACACGCAGCCGTCATGCACTCCCGCTGCGCCGCAAAGTACGCCACCTCCTCCCTCAGTCCAGCAGCTCCGTGTCCACCACGTCCCCCACAATCGCTGCCATGCCACCGCTACGCACAACACACACAGCGCCACAATGTCGTGCCGCCACTTCTCCCCAACCATGAGCGCAGCACCCAACTCGTACTGGCACACGTGCTCCATGCGCTGCAACCACCCGCGGATCCGCCTCACCGTCATGCACCGCATCTCGTTGTCCTTGTGGTTGGAG